CAGAAAAGTAGAGCCTTATGAAAGGGAAATAAGAAGAAGATAATCAATGAATAGTGTGACCATGTAATTTATCATCACTTTTGAGTATGAAAGAGTGTTATTAAACAGCATACAGAAAGAGGCAAAAACACTGAAGTAGGGTATATAGGCTCTACTTTGCCAATGGCAGAACTGCTTGGTTCTTCCTAATTTCCCACACTGGGAGGTCCTATACCCTGACCCCAAAGAGCATCTCCAACAGTGTGACAGCACAGGGCTAAGCTCAGCAATGCTAATCCTTGTCAAGGGTGGAGATTTCAGTGGCATAGCACAGTCTGGGGAGACTGTTTCTTGTATTCCTTGATAGGATATTTTGGTACTGGCTGCAGTTTGGACTTTTTTTTAAGGAGAAAATAATGTGTTTTCAGTAAAAGATTTTCCCCAGTGCCAAATTTTACAGGAAAAGTAGTAGAGTCTATGTCAAGCAAGTTCAGTTCCGCTTGTGTCTTCAGAGATGAAACGCTTTCAATAGCATGCAGCCCGCAGCTGGCAGCCACACATGCCATGCCACAATGACAAGAAGCTTGGCATCCTCGGGGAGTAATGTCAGACTTGATCTCCATGTCAGTACTCTTGCAGTTAGCCTCTCTAACCTTCCCAGTTCAGCTGTTGTCTAAAAGAGGGGGAGAAATCAATATATGAATTGAATGATGTTTTTCTCAAAAATTCTCCAAAAACTAAGACTCAAGTGACAAAAGAGTTAAAAAAAAAAGTGGCTGATTCAAATGCTTTGTATCGTACTAAGTGATAACAAGAATATAAAAAGGGAACAACACATTTGAGGACTTACAAATTTCAGTTCTTGAAATTCCACAGGTACTTGACCTCTTTGTAATCTCCAAATTAGAGAAACATTCTCCAACACTTCTAAGAGAATTCTGTACTTCAAAAAAACCAAGTAAAATCAAATTCAATCCTAATGAAAATGACCTCTGTTTGAGTAAGGAAATATCAGCTCATGGTGCCAGAGTCAATTAAGGCTTGTTGAAAATATCCTTGTGTTTATGTGGTATCACTTTAACTGTTGTGCTCTCTCTGCATTAATCTTGGGTAAAGCCATTTATTATGCTGGGTTGCCCTGACCCACACTGATGTTAGCTAGCTCTAGTTTCACTTCTCTGCTTGAAGAAAAAGGGCAGACGGATAAGAAAGTAGGAAAAGCTCCTGGATTCTTCCATGGTGTGCAAATCCACTTAACACAATTAGAATGCCCAATTAATCTTAGCAACATGAGTGATGAATCATTTCTCCAGGTGTCTCTTCAAAAGAGAGTAAATTTAGTTCCAACATTTCATTATTGTTTTAAACCAACTGTAATTTTGAAGATTAATGGGGAAGCAAATAATTGAACCCAAATATATATTCAAAAACAGTTTCACCCCAGGTATCAACATAACAGAACACTGACTACCCTGGATGCCAATTTTTCTAGGTAATACAAGGAACAATGACTAAATTCCATCATTTGTGTCACTTTTTGTATCTTGATTTGATGGTATCTCCTGCCATCTACTGATAGATAAAAAAGATAAAAACAACTTTTCTGAATCATTTGGCAATTACTCCATACATGATCAATTGCCATCTTTTGTTTGAATATGAAAACCATCCAATACATCACGGTTTTTCCATCCAGAAAACAGCAGTAGGTTTGCTTCTAGTATAGAAAACCTTTGGTTGGCTTCACAACATTTTACACTTTGAAAGCATTATGGTATAGAAAAAAATACTGCTGGATTTGGAGTCACAGACTCTAGATTCTCGTGCCAGCTCATCCAAGGACACAGAATCTTATTCTGAGCTTAGATTTCTTGTCCTAAAATAAAAGTGTTGGGGTGGGGGGGACACTTCCTCCCACCTACAAGATGATCTAAGTTTTACAGAGCATTTGAATTCTTGATAAACTCAGTTCCAAAGAACAGGTCATTCATCATTTTACATACAGCTCAATTAAAAAGTCAGAGTCCCTCACTGCCCTCTGCAGAAGGCTTCTCTCCATTTTGTCTGTCACCTCTAAACACTGCACATCCAGCCTGTCCCCAGTGTGCAGCCTCTTCAGGAGCTGTCTGCTGCTTCTCTGCCCATTGACACAGACATCTTCACTGTGAAAGACTCTGCATTCACACAAAAAGTTCACATGGGAATAGTGATTAAGCTGCTGAATTTAAATGATCACTGCAGCTGACTCCAGCTCCCAATTGGGAGATAGACATATTTGATTCGTTTTCTAACCTTTGAAGAACAGTCAGTCCAATGACTCTTTACTTATCTGAGGGTCACTTATCTGGTAACTTCAAATATCTAGGACACCACCGAGAACCAAAGATGGCCAAGAAAAGGCCTTGGAGAAGCATTTCTAAAGGTCTCTAGCAGAAATGCATGCCACCAAACTCATTCACTGAAGTTCATGCACTTGACTTCAGAGAGTTTTTTCTGCTTCCTTCAAAGACATATATAATCAATATAAATAAATTTCCAAGCCTAGCCATGCTGATTTTTTAGCCATTGCTATTTAGAGGTAGCAAATTAGACATGGGGACAGTCTATTAGAGGCAGGGTCAGCAGCTATGAGAGGTGACATCTGAGCATCTGATGATAAATAGAAAAATGAAAGTGTGTATTATCGTAACAAAATCTTCTAAGAAAGCAAAGTGTGTAATTCAGTTAAGAAAAATTAGTATTAAAATTTGCCAAAGTAAAAGTAGTCAGAAGCCTTAAAGGTGTCAGTTCTAGATAAGAAAAATTCACTATGTAGACTTTCTCAATTCTAAATTATTTTAGAAAGATTAAATATTCCTTAAAAAAAAAAAAAGCCAGAGGTGGGAGGGCTGAGACAACTGGATTCTTCTTTGGCCAAAGTTTTCAATGACCAGTTACTTAAAAGTTGTTGATTATCCAGGGATATGTCCCAGTTTGCTCCCTTACCCCATGCCCCCAATTCATGGTATATAGTGTATGCAACATTAATTTTCCTTGATTGTTCAAGTTCTTCCTATTGACCTCATTGGTCAATACCATGATGCCCTCAGGGCTGATAAAGTAGCAGGACCCTCTACAGAATTGCCCCTGGCCTGAACACTGTTGCAATACCTTTGTCTCTTTTTTTCTGGTCTGTCACATCAATTTCAAGCTTGCCAAGTGGCTGGGATTCACAATTTTGAATGCAGTCTTCTTCCTTCAGGGATTTACCTGATAACTAAGTTATTCGCCTAAGTCCTCAGCAAAACATTCTCTCCTTCTCTACTTTTCTAATTCTAGCAAAGTTTGAAAAGTCCTGCTAGGCAGACCAGGTAAGTCTCTCTCACACTTGACCTTAGTTTTCTCCATTAGTACTGTCATGTGAAGCAAAGTGTGTCAGAAGAACAATAACGTGTAACAGATTGCAAGAAAAAATAGGAATATGTTTCTGCCTCCCTCGGATTTGCCCTTTTACTGTTATGCACCGGGGTGTGAAGAAGCACAGCTTGGGAGGAATTTGGCCTGCTCTGTAAAGGTCATAAAAGTTTCCAACAGAAAATGATGACTCATGTTCCATACATCCTGATATTTCAGAGTGTTCAGGAAAGAATGCAATCTAGTCCAACACACCCTTTCTTTCCATCGTTTTCTTGCCAGCTCACAGTACTTGTGAATTTCACTACAAAGGGAAGTTCAACAGCCAAGGTGAGGGAAATTGCTCCTGTGAACAAAAGTTCAAACGCAGGGCAACAGGAGGCAGGCCTCTCGGCACCCTGTGTTTACCAAAGAGGCAGGTTCCATCCAAACACACAGATCTTTCTCGTACAAATATGCTGCTCAGTGTTTTGGCATCTTTCAAAGCAAAGTTTTAGAGCCTGCTTTTCCTCCCCAGTACTGTACACACACATATGTACGCACACACAAACACCAGCTTTGAAATCGCATGGTATTGTCTCAGAACTTGAAACACATCCAGCATTTGACCTTAACTTTCCAACACCACAGGAAGCAGGAATTCTCACACCCTAAGGCCTCTAGTTAAATGAGCCCACAGAAATATCTCCCCAGAAGATGCTTAATTGTACATACTGCATACATACCATTTTCCCTTTTCACTGAAAATATACAAGGCCACACATTCAAATCTTGATAGAAACTCCTCATCCAACAATCAAGCAATATGGCTACATAAACACACAACTTGTGAGATCAATTTACCATCTGTATGTGAGTCTAGGAAACATGAACTAAAGGGCATTTTCTTTGCAGAGCTGTTGGGAAACAATCAGCTCCAACTTTTCCCTATCCTTGTGTAGGGAGAGCCAAGGGTTGGCCAAGTTTCACCCAGTCCTTATCCCTCAGCTGGGAACAGGCAAGGATTATCAATGGAGGGAACCACCAAGATGACATGTAATGTGAGAGGCACAGTCTCTCCAAAGAAAAATGAGGGTGCTGTTATCAGAGGAAACAGGAATGAATTCGGGATAGGCAAAATCCACAGGTTAGCTCCAAAGCAATAAGGTGACATAATGCCAAAGCACGGTTAGATCTTTGCAAGTTGGTCAGACTACAAAGAGGATCCATGAATAATTGGCTGATGTAAGCTTTTCTTCATATAGTATTATGTACCCCAAAGAGGAATAAAGTAAAGTAAAAGTGGATGTAACACCAACTTTGTTAAGACCATGCAATAATTCATCTGACTCAATTACATTATGCCATTAAGAGATGGAAAAAAGAAAAGAGAGAAATCTTTCAGGCTTCTATCAATCCTCTTTCCAAATGTAAAATTGAACAAGAAACTTCTGATTCAGGAAATTATGAAAGCTGGGTGTGTAGCCCAGTGGTAGAGCATTTGCCCAGCATGTGTGAGACCCTGGCTTAGATCCCTAGCACTGAAAAAAAAAAAAAAAAAGAAAGAAAGAAAAGAAAAGAAAAGAAATGATGAAATTATAGGAATTTGAATTGGAAGGAATCTTTATGGGTCTGGCTCAACTACTTACTCAGTGCTGGAATTTGCTCTCTCTGCAAGATCTTGTAGTTTTTGCTTACATACATATATTTCATCATTGCACAGTTCTAATAAGCAGAATGATCTTCTTTATGTTGAATAAAAATCTGTTTGCTCTTGAATCCACATATTGACTCTAGTTTGGCTGATTGGAAAAACTACAAGCAAAAGGAAGAAATTATCCACATTTTCATCTGACACTTTTCAAGCTTTTGAGTCAAGGCTACTCCCTCCTCTAATAATAATAACAACAATAATAGTCGATCCTTTTAGGATGAATATCTCCAGTTTCTTTTAAGTTTCCAATGGCATTTCCTACCTCTTCATCACTCTTTTAGCCTCTTCTATGCAGGTACTAGTTATACAGACACAAATGCAATTAAGTTTCCTCCTACCTTGTTACAGAAAAGATTTCCGGTGGCTGAATTCCAGTTTTTCAATACCCCTTTAAGAAATATGATACCCAAAATGAAACACAACACTCCAGAGTCAGAAAGCAAATGTACTACACTCAGCACACTTCACACATAGGCTACCATATGTCACTAAGTGTTTCGGGATCTGCCGTCATTGAGGAGGAAGTACAAGACTGCAGGGGAGTCAAGACAGAGTCCTGGGTTGTGTTCCAGTATCATTCAGTGTGAAATAGACCCTAAATAAGGAAAACAACAGATGTAATGTGCTGCTTTTCATACAAAACTCTTCCAACATGGGAATATCTTATCATAGTCACAATCTAATGTTGCCTTACACCCTCTAGGGGAAATTCCCTGGGGATGTGTTAGAAGAGGAAACTGCCTTGAAAGAATTTTTTCAGGCACATTAGAGATGATAGAAATCAGTTCTGATGTCAGGACTGGGTAGGTGTAGGATCTAATGAGGAACACAGACCAGGTGCACTCAATGAGCCCTCACAGCCTGTGTTAAAAAACCACCTCCTAGATGCTCCTGGCACTGAGAATTTTCCCTACCTCTAATCTGGGAGTAAGAAGGGAAAATGAGGATCGGGGAGATAGGAGGTTGTAATAGGAAGCAGATTTTTTAATGGGATCTCAAAAGCACATTTCGCAAGTTCAGTGCATTCCCCATGCCTGCTAGAACAAACAACATATAGGAGCCTCTTTTGATTTGCAGTTGATTGTAAACTGTCTGGCTCCATGTGATTTTACAACTGTTTCAGCTAATTCAGAGATTTAAAAACCCAGCCCAGGGAGCATCTTGTGCATTTATGAAGCATCTGAGAGATTACGGGTACTGAAGCTAGGGAATACTTTACATATCCCCAACCCACAACGCACATTCTTCTATTCCATAGGCACAAACACACAGGACGTGGATCAGCATGGAGTGTGTGTATATGAGTGTGTGTGTGTGTGTGTGTGTGTGTGATAATAGTCTTTTCTTAAATCCAAGCTTAATTATTTACTTTCCAAATCTCTTAAGCAGTGACAATCAATTCTCCATACTTTGTCTAAAGCCTACTCCTGTGAACTTCTTATCCCTACCTTTGAAAACAATGATATACTATTTAACTACTGGCAGAAATGGAACTGTGAAGTTTGGGAGGATTCCAAACTGTTGTTTTATTTTATTTTAGTTGCTCTATTTTTTTTCATTATTTTGTCTTTATCTCTTGATTTGGAGTCTGTGGTTGCTGAACTGGACCGGCTGGTGATTCTGGCTAGCACTGACTATATGCATTGCTTCAATTGGGATTGTAGCATTTTTTCCTTTGGTGGCTCAGTCCATCTCCACATGAAAAGTGTGTCACACCAGCATTCTTCAGAAGCATGGAAGGTGTCCCTCGTGTGTATTTAAGAGACGCCTGCCAAAGTCCCTCCAGTTTGAAAAGCCAATATGACATATTTTGACTTTGTTGGAAGAGTCTCTACTTCCTATACAACAGTAACTGCTATATCCCAAAGGCAAAATACAGGAATATATGTAGAATATAAGTAAATATATAAATTCACATGTATTTTTATGCATGTTTGATAAATGGGAAATACATCTATCCTAAGGACAGGGATATTTATTTGTTTGGCTATCTTCTTGGCCAGGTTATCCCAAGTGTCATACCTAGAACAGGGCCTAGCACATGTTGAATAATTGATATGGTTGAGAATCACTGATCCAAGTTCAACTCCAAGAAGTTATTATTCCTGGACCCACTATCCTCCTGATTAATGTTAGAAAGTAAACAATCCCATGCTGGCAAATAACAGCACACAGAATAATGTGATAATGGATATCAAATGAGAAGCCCCAGTAGAAGATAATATTTGGATTCATGGAGATATAAAAAAATTATGATGCTGCTTTGCTCCTCACAAAATCATTTTTTATGTCTTTTTATATTATATTATAAAATGAGTTTACAAAGAAAAGGCTGGAAGTCTTGATCATCAGGCGTTTTCTTCTTTGTGTGTACTAGGAATTTAACGCCTTAATAACTTCTAACTCAAAGTCAGTACAAGTTGTTGAAACAAGGACTAGGAGAAATGAATGGAGTCCAGATGCCAAGGAAAATCTCTAGTGAGGAGGGTTGGGAAGCTGGTTTGTTGAGGACCCGATATAACCAGGAATGTGAGACCAAAGCTGAAGGATACAGGTGTGGTGGCCAGAAACCAGCAGAGCAGAAGGGCTGCAATCAGGTCAGGCAAAGAGGGAAAGTCGAGAGGAAGAGGACACCAGCTTCACTACTGCCCACCCTGAGGGATGGAAAAGAGAGGGGACAAGGCCCTTTAGCAGGCATGCTTGGACAAATAGCAGGCCTAGCTGATGGATAAACCAGGATTGTTCTCAGGAATATCCTACAAGCAAGAATTAGCATTGGTTTTCTAATCATACAACCTTAATAAATTATTTCTGATAGATATATTAATAATGATAAGAAGAATAACTCTAAGGTGTTCACAATCTCCTCAAAAATAAGTGACATTTTTTCCTCAGGAATTTCCCAAACTTCATTTTATAGTTTGTACATAAGCAAAAACTCTAGCTTCAATAATTTAGCCATGCTCATTGTGATCAATAATAGTAAAAACCAGTCCTAATCTGGATCACACACATGTAAGATTCTACTAGTTTCCTACTTGGTTTGAGAGTTTTGCAAAATGTGTATAATTAATCGTGCACATTTGAAAATGATACAAATGTTTGTTAGGGGCTTCAATGTTTTTTTATACAGACTCACAGGTCAAAGACTTAGATCCCTCAGTGAAATATCACTTATCCTTCATTCCATATTAACTTTAAGGATTAGTGTGTTTGGGTCTAATCTAATACCAACCACACTTAAACTGCTGCGCCCTGACGAGCAAGCCAGAATAAATGTGTGAGTCACTTTAAAAAAAAAAAAAAAGGAACTGCTCAGGTACATCAGAATCAACATTATCTCGACTTTAGAAGTGTTAAAAACCAGCTCTGAGGCAGAGAGTCCTGCCAGAGTCAAGATAACATGAAGAGATTCTCACGTATGTGGAGCTGTGAGAAGAATGGAGACGAGCCAGCTTCTGTCATTCAGTATGTAGTTCCAAGGGGCAGAACTAGAGCCCCTGGGACTGACTCCTCAGACCTTTCCCAGGAAAATCTAATGTCACTAACAGAGTCTGCACATATGGGAACCTGGAATCACTCCCAAAGGAAATTACATTGGAAATTCGTTGTTTCCAAGTCATCCCAAAGGAAGATGGAAGCTAGACCTTCCAATCCAAAATATCCACAAGTGACAAAACAGAATTTAATGGGTCGAGCTTTTTCCCCTCACAACCTTAATGCCATTAGATGTATATAAAAATGTTTTTTTTTTAAGTTTAAATTCAACCAAATTAATATCTACTATTTTGACTGCTTTTATTTAATAGTTGTAGAGTAAATGTTGAGGGTGAAGATTATGCTATTATACTGACATATTGTCAGAGATATGAACACGAGGAAGGAGTATAGGGCTGCCTCCATAGGGTCCCAAGAAGCAGGGCCAAGGGTTTTACTCTGGCCCAATCTCTCAGATCATTGATTGCATGAAATATGGCAAGTCCTCTAATGACTTCTTGACTGTTTCCTCATTTATAAAATGAAGGGCTGACAATAATTATCATGGTGACAATAATAATAAAGGTAGCAATAACAATAGCTAACTAGGAAAGTTTATTAGTTGAACTTTGGTTTAACCCTCTCAATGCACCTATGGTTTAAATATGATAATTATTATTTCAGTTTTACAGTTGAGAAAACTGAGGCTTAGTATAATTTCCTCAGCGGTAGAGGCAAACTTACTGTGAAGTTAAGGCTCTGAAATTTCAGAGCCCTGTCTTTGAATAGACCCTCTTCTAAGATTCTGTACCTAATTTTGTATTCTCTATCTTAAAGAGGATTTCTCAAATTGTATAAGTTCCAGGAGCCATAGAATTTGGATTTGTGCCTGATATGGACACAAGGCAGAGTTAAAATTCAAAGGCAGATGATCCAAATCCAAAGCCTGAAACTTCTCTCCTTAACTGGCTTCCTTTGGAAGTTTTCTTTGTTTTTCATAATGTCCCAGTCTGTTTGTGTCCCCTCAAAATTCATACATTAAAACCCTAACCCTCAAAGTAACCATATTTTGGTTGGATCTAAGAGATAATTTAGGTTAACTGAGGTCCCATCATTTAACCCTAAGGAGCCCTAATTTAATTAGGGTTAGTTTCCTTACAAGAAAAGAAAGAGAACACAACTTCTCCATGTGCATCCCCCAAAGAAAGGCCATGTAGATCATAATGAGGAAAGGCTGTCCACAGGTGGGGAGGACAGTCCTCACTGCAAACAGAATTTTCTGCCACTTTGGTCATGGACTTCTGGAATCCAGAACTGTCTGTTCTTTAAGTCACGCGATCTGGGACACTTTACTATGGCCACTGGAGCAGACCCACACGCCATCCTGTGTTTGCTTCATCCTTGCAGTCTCTTGTGTCTCAATGATATGATGGCTTTTGTGTTATTTTATGTCCTTTAAAGGATAATTTCACCCATAGTATCGTAAGTGCAGTCAGGACAACATCTTCCTAAGCCTAATTTTATATCATCTCATCTCAAAATCAAAATGCCTTCTTCCTTTCGGGTTTCAGGGAAGCAGTGGGAATATCAACGATTCAACAATAAACAGTGGAAGTCCAAGTTCTGATCTTAATTATTCTTGATTTGCTGAAGATAAGCTGGGCTTCCATACACATGTCGTTCTAGCATCCTTAGGCTTAACACTTTCATCGCATGGGATTATTGGTCAGAATAATTAATCAACACTGTGCTGCAGAAATCCCCAATACGATGTAGCAAATACTATTTGATTACCTTTATATTATGTAATTTGTAACAATCATATGATTGTTTCAAATTCAACATAGAATAGTAAACATACATCAGAACATATAATCAATTGTTCTCATTTTTACTGATTCCTTGGTTCTTATTTAATTGACTTTTACTCATTTATTCACACAAATATGTTAAATACTTACGAAGAGTCTGAAGGGTTAGAACAGTGTGGTAGGTGGAATTAGGATTAGGAGTATGCTAGGATTCCCATCCCTAGCATACTACTGCTCTTGAGTATGATCACCTGTGAATATGGCAAGTTATCACTTCTGTGATTATGTGTAACATTCAGTAGCAACTATGAAAAGATTTTGCAGATGTAACCAAAGTGTCTGATCAGTTGCTTCTGAGTTAATTAGAAGATTATCCTGGGTGGACCTGGGCTAATCAGGTGAACACTTAAAGGAGACTCTAGCAATCAGAAACAGTCATGCTGGCCCTGAAGAAACAGGTTGCCATGTTGTAAGAAAGTCTCATGGATAGAATGCTGGATAGTCTCTGGGAGATAAAAATACCCCACCCCACTTCTAGCTGAAGCCAGCAAGAAAAATCTTGGTCCTAAAACCACAAGAAACTGAAAAATCTGCCAACAACCTGAATGACCTTAGAAGACGACTCCAAATCTCAGATGAAATATAATTAGGCCAACCCATGTATTTCTGCCTGGTGGAACCCTGAGCTCACCCTGATAAGAAACACCTAATCTGCACCTAGACTCCTGACCTGGGAACATGGTCAGATAGAAAATATGTATTGTTTTAAATTGCTATGCTTATAGAAATTTGTTACAGGTAATAGAAAAATAATATAGACAGGAAAAAATACAGTCAGGTCCCTGCCTTCCTGGAGCTTTAGCTCTATTGGGGGCATGGGCAATAAGCAGCTCATAAATTAACAAGAATTCTCCAACTAGTGATATGTACAAAGAAGACTATGCAATAGGGTAGTAGGGGAAAGACAGACTGAGGCTGGGACTCATATTTGGTAGGATCTCCAGAGAGGGCTATGGTGAATAATGAGAGGAAAGTCAGCTGTATCAGAATGAGTTTGATAAGAACATTCCAGGCAGAGAAAACAGCAAGGAACAAGGCCTTCAGCTACAGTGGCCATATCCTTACAGAATTAACTCCGAGAACCACATGGAGACACTGCTACATAAACTCATTCCCTCAAAGAATATTTAATTTAATATAAATGTATAACTGCCTCAAAAATATGCTTCCGTAGAGTGGGTCCTATTGGACATTAATCAGTTTAAGTGCCATTAGCCAAAGTTCTAATTATAGGAGACTTTTAAATTCGGCTTTTCTTCAACCTTTGCCAGGCGGAAATGTTCCTTATAGGACACAGTACTTAGCACATAATGGGAATTCGAAAGGACAGCTATTGGATTGGAGTGAATGCTTCAACTTATTTGAAGTTTCATGTTTGTTTGATTCCTTTGGTGTAGAATGTTGTTCCCTGGTAAGAAAACATAATGCTAGGCCACAATTAAATTTTGCTCTATCTAAAACTTCTGATGTATAATTGAAGATCTCAATTACTATGTACGTAATAGCAGGATTATAATAAATCGATAAATATAAAATGAGGTAGCATTGGTAGTTTTGCTAGTGGACTAGCATTCATCGAACTCTATATAATAGCACAGTGCAGTGTCATTAACCCCATGCAACTTTAAATAACTCTATAGTATTATTATTAGCACATTTTTAGTAAGAAAATTGAGGTATAGAAAGATTAACTTTCTTAATATTATACAAATAGTGAGGAAGCTGGGACATGAGCCCAGATGAATGACTCCTGTCAACCACTAGTTGTAAGATAATCACAACAAGGACTAAAATGAATTGAGGATTTACTACGGGCCAGGCATGGCTAAGCACATCACATATATTAACTAATTTAATCACACAGCAACATTCTGAACTAGATACTCTTAAGTTTACATAGCCAAACTAATTACATTTGGACATTTTAACTTCTTCTTAATCGTGAATTTCTTTAGTTAGTCCAAGTTGTCTTTTCTGCTTTCGTCTATACTCTGTCTGCCAACGCTTGGTCAGTATTCAAGGGTCGGAATAAGGAGCTCCCCTCTGGCCCTCTCCAAATTTCAAATTTGAGTTTTAACTAAAATGTCATGCCCTGCAATTGAGGATAATAGAATCAATTAAATGGAATGTGAATTGCTAGTCTGCAAAAAACCTATTGTAAGAAGCATTTAGTAAATGCTGGGGCTAATGAGACCAGGATATTCCCTTGTGTTCAAGAGACCAAAGTGACCTCCAAATCCAAATGAAGTCAAGTATTTCTCAATCTAAGCAAGGTGGCAAAGTTAAATCCTAAGGACAGGATTATGGCTAGCATGAGGAAACTTCCTTATTTAATCAATTATTTTGTAACTATCCGGGATAACAAATCTACAACAGGAGGGATGTGGACTATATGAAATCTAGAAAAGGAGATCCAAAAAGGAAACACCTGCCAGTGTTTATTCAGCTTTGTCCTGGAAAGAGAGGACTGTGAGTCTATTGCAGTGTTTTTCAAATTGTAGGCTGTGACCCATTGGTAGGTCAACAATTGATTATTGGATAGTGACTGACATTTTTAACAAGACAGGAGAGATCAGAGTTTATTGCATGAGATTTGGTTCAGTGTTATTTTGTGAAACTTCTGTTTCCACTGTAAAATACATAAATATATACACCTATGTATGCATACATACACATTTGACATACTCTTTGATGTGGCAATACATTTCTCTCTATGGGTCTCTTTGAAAACTATTAGTACACTGATGTTAATTTTTCTAAACTGGTGGTTCTTAAACTTTGGGATTTCATAGAACCACAATTCATCCTCGAAACAGGAAGAATAAGGAACAATAATAGGGTTGCCAATATTTTTACTCTGCCAAGTTTAAATATGACAAAGATAATGCTACTCTCCCTACAATGAAGAGTTTTGACATCAAAAATTACAATGACATAATCATGAAATAAAGCACATTCTTTCAAATTCAGTATTTTTAGTTTTATGGTAAGTCTACTGCATTGCTCTTATATTCTTTTTTCCACTTCAGATTCATGAAATCCAGCCAAATCCAGGAGAACAAGATGTGGCTGAGCAGTGCATAGTTACCCTCACTCACCTCAGTGAAACATCTTTAGCTATATCTCTCTTTTGCTTCTTTTCTGCATTTGCTAAGCTTCTGACGTGTAATTTTATACTGGAGGTACAACCTCTAGTACCATGAGCCAGAAGAGAGGAAATGAACACTCGGTTTATTATGCCAGATAGTTCTTTCTTCATTAATTAGTGCCTGGCTTCATAAATGCTCCCTTGTGAATTTGAATAACATGAATCGACTTTTCTCAAATCTTATCATCAAAGAGTAAGTGAGTAAGATTACGTTTCTGGACCTACAAGCTGAAAAATTGGATATTTCAGGCCACGTAACTCTGAGGGCCAGTCAAAGTTCAGCTCATGATAATTCCTGCTATTTTAATATCAGTCCGATTAGTTCCCAAAGCTAACCCCAGAAGCTCACACACTTTTTACCAGGTTTTCCAATGCTTCTCGTGAAAAGCATGCAGTAGCTCCTTGTTCCTGGCTTCTGCATCCAACCCACTTCCACTTCAAGGGTGCCTTTTAAACGCTGTCATCTCAGCTTCCAGTGCCTGGATCCGACTACCTTGCTACCTGAACAAAAGCCAGGCCAGAGCAGACATTGTAAGCAGTTCTCCTGACTGATTTGTTCATGTTCATCCTTCAATTGCTATCAATAATTTGAATGAGAAGGGCTCCGGAAAGTTGTCAGCCACACCCCTCACCACTTCATGGTGGGTGACAACCCAAGGCAACCAGCTGGCCTCCCTCTTAAAGATATCTCCTTAGCTTCAACTTTTTAGGGATTACAGTTCCAGAGATCTGACTATAGTAGTGTTGCATCATGTCTAGGGCACAAGTGCCAGAGCAAGAGCATTTATTCAAGACCTACGAACTTGTAAACTTGAAAACTAGAACATGCTTCCACGTTGGACACAAGTTAGCCTCTGAACTAGTCATATAAAAAGGGGGTCGCTAAACAAATCATCAGCATGGACAAAATTTAAGGAGCTCAATCAGTCATTTCATTTTATATGATTTATATAGATTATATGCATTCAAAAAGACAGTCCTAATGAATCAGAACATATCTATTCATTAAAAGGAAATTCCAGTAGCACTTAAACTTATAAATGCTTTTCTAGCAATTAGTTCAACTTACCAGATATACTTAAAAGTAATATAATTGCATTTCTTTTTTTTTAAATCCTATAATTCAGATAATATTTTTTTTTTCTAATTTAGATCGGGCTTCCTCCCATTTAAACTAAATTAGTTCAGTCTTGTGTCAGGAATATTTACACTTGTTTCTCTTGCTGGCTTCATTACCCTCTCTCTGCCCTGATTCTTTTAAAGGTCAATCCCTGAACTGGAAAAACTCCATCTTCCCACGTTTTCATTTCTCTTACACCCTGCAGAGGAGTGAAATTAGCAGTGAGAAATGGACATGCCTAATCACCATAGCAGATTGTGGTTCTAAGTAGCTGCTGCAATGAACTGCATACACCAGTTATAGTGTTTCAAGTGCAGACCGAATATTTCTTTCCTTGAAGGGTTCTTCAGTTGTAGGCGAACACCATCTTTCATAATACTTGAAATTCAGCAACTCATTCTCTGCCTCTCTTGTGCTCCTAAAACTTTTTTTTCTTTTATAATGCTGTCCTCTTGCCCACAGGCCTGAATTTCATTGAGAGCTTCTCCACATCTTTATCTTTGAGTTTTCCTCAGTTTCACCCCCATGTCATATTGAAGGGTCTTAATTACAGGAAATAACTAATAAATGTTTGCATTATTTAATTAGATCATGCCATCAAAACCTTCACGTTACAAGTGAGGAAACTCAGTCTTCACAAGTTGGAGTGCTCAGTATCACATAATGAGAGTCAGACCTGAAAAATCAAGTTCAAGTCACTTGATTTCTCAGTCCTCTCAAAAACTGCCTTGGCTGTGAGCAGTGACTAAAGAATACCATATTGTTTTTAAGGTAGAAAACTCAAGACAATACTAACAAAAGTACTCTGCAAAAATGTATTAAAATATTCATTAAATTACAAAATGTTCTCACTTGAAAAAGCCTTAGAACTCAAATATGCTAGTTTTATAAATGATGAAAGTAAGACCCAGAGACACTGAGTTCCTTTTGGGTTTTATTACATCTCATCGTGTCTGCTATGAATCAGGGCTGATATGACAATTGTGTCTGTGCAGTGGCCCAAAATAGTTTAGGAAGAGTAACCAAAAATATGTTTTAATAAAACTAGCACCTGAGAACAGCTAGCCAAACCCTACCCCTTCTCCTCTTGTCACCTACTTGTGTTACCTGGGTTTCTGGCTCGTTTCATTTTTTCAACTGGAATAATGCCATAGTTTCCCTAAGGCCACAGTTTTTTGCAGCAAACAAATGTGAGCCCAGAGAGAGAGAGAGGAATTTGGAACTACACATTTTTAGCATTCAGAGATAATTCAAGATGGTTCAAGTACTTTCTAAGTGTCAACACCCAAGCAAATGCTCTTGCTACCCCCAGTGTTTGCCTGCAAAAACATTTTATTGCTGAAACATACTGCATTGCCAGAATGTTTTTGATAAAGAGCATTTGTCGCAGAGGGTTCTATATAGATACAGCCTCGCTTTCCTCAGGGATGCTAAATTTTAACCTGAATATGTAGAAATTACAGAAAGAAGATTAATAGGTAATTCATAGAAATCCATTATGTGGATGTTCATTAACTCAAAACACGGAGCAGAATGAGAGGAAACGGTTTTATATTGCTCCGATAAGGATTTAAATTATCTATGAAGAAGAACTTCCTGACAAATACCAGACTTGGTTACCAAAATGGTTGTGGAATTTCCTTCTCAAAGCTTTCAAAAGAATATCATTTCCTTTTAAGACTGGGTTAGAAGTTGTTGTTGTCTTTGAATTTTGGTGGGGTTTTTGTTTGTGTTGTTGTTGTTTTGTTTTGTTTTTGAAATAGAGGACAAAACTGTTTGACCCTAGACATCCATTTGTCAGGATGCTTCAAGGAACAACTTCACAAAATAAACCTCAAAATTAACAATTTTAAACTAAGGCTTACTAGCTCATATATGAATACATGATCCGAGTAACTCCATATCTTGTACAACCAGAAGAATGGGATCAAAATTGGAAAGGGTTGTACTTCATGTATGTATAATATGTCAAAATACACCCTACTTCCATGTACATCTAAAAACAAAAATAAATAAAATTTCCAAAACAAAATGAGGCTTAGTAAACTCTGAAACATGTGACCAAAAAATTTCTAGAATTTCCTTCAGAGTGGAGATTTAAGATCCATTTACAATAGAAGGGTGTCATGAAGAAGAAATGGAAGGGTAGAAAAGATCGGGTAAGAAAAGAAAAAGTGAACCATATCAATATGTTCACCTTAGTATTCTATCCAGAGCCCTAGACTTCACCAAGCATCCATTTATATATTAAAAACACAGTGGAATACCACCCACTTCCTTAAAGTATTGTTTTTCAAGGTCTTAACAATATCTTGAGACAACTACAAGAAAAGCACAATAATATTAGAAAAGCATTATTAATAGATTACTTTTTTAATTTAAAGGTTTTTGCCTTAGTTCCTGTTTGCTTTAGGATTCTGCAATGAGAAAAGCAAAAGCTAAGGGTTATTGTGATGTTAAGGGGTTTCCTGAGGCTGAAAAGAGACAACTTCAACACTTCATTAGGTACTGCCTTGTATTGTCTTCTAATTGCTTCTTGTGCGTAAGTCTTGCTTTTCCCAAAAGACTTGAGTTCACCAGGATAAGGACCTTGATTTATATTTCTTTCATATTTTCTAAAACTCTAAGTCTACACTGAGCACGTAGCAAGTCACTTAGAGTAATCGACTGATTTATCTGGAAATAAGGGTGAGGCCCCCCTGTATATTTCCCTGAAAGTGTGCTACACAGTACTCTTTGACATTACTCTGTAAATGAGCAAGGCAGAAAGACACAGCAGAAGGGGTATTACTTTTTAATATAGTATATGCAACACAATATGTCAACGACTTATGGGGAAAAAATGAAATCACATCTTCAGAGCCAAGAGGCTGAACTAAACAATTAGATTAGTAAGGGTTTTTATTCACTTATGTATTTAACACATATGCTGCTTACCATGTTCCAGTCACTGGTCCAAACAGTTCACAAACATTAGCTCATTTGCTCCTAATAACAATTCACAGCAATAAGATAAGAATTATTATTATTATTATTATTATTATTATTATTATTATTATCATCCTCATTTTATGATAAGGACCTGGGGCCTAGAAAGAAAAGGCAAAATTTGTTCAAGGTCATATAACCTTCCTGAATTTGAACCTGGGATGTCTGGCTTATCATTTATTCTGTTTACCAAGGAGAGAGAGCTTCAAAAGTCAGAGAACAGGAAGAGCCGCCATTTTCAATCTTCAGCAGTTTCCATTTCAGTGACCAGAAAGCTTTTGCTATCTACAAAGAGAAGTATGGGGGGAATAGGGTAGTGATCAGTGGAGTGAAGGGGTGAAAATTTGCTGAGATAATCTGATGAAAGAGATGAAATAGGAGGCAAAGCCTGTAGATGTAGTAATGTACAAAAGGGGAAAAAATTGCCACATGGGAGAATTGAATAAAATCACCCACTTCATCACATTATTAGGAAACTTATATCCACTTTTTTTTTTTTTTTTTATCAAGGATAGGGAGAAAGGGAACATAGACAATTTTTAGCAGAATAGTAAATAGTTTTTAGGAGAACTTACAACCATTGTTGTATGGTCTTGCTAATGTACAACAGCCTGGGACAAAGTTCAATGGGCTCCTGAGTCAAAGATTGAAAATGATTCTCTATGGGACTGAAGTAGGGCACAGTGGTGGATAACTATTTTAGTCAGCTTTTTCACTTCTGTGACTAAAGGACCCTAGCAGCACAATTATAGAGAAAGAAAAATTTATTTGAGGGCTCACAGTTTCAGAGGTCTTAGTCCATAGAAGGTCGACTCCATTCCTAGGCGCTCGAGTTTGAGCCTGCACATCATGGTGGGAGAGGGTAGTAGAGGAAAGCAGCTCACATCATGGTGACCAGGAGGCAGAGAGAGAGTCCACTCTCCAGATACAAAATATATACACGAAAGCCATGCCCCAATTCCTACCTCTTCCAGCCACACCCTACCACTTCAGTTAATCCCCCAAGGGATTAATTCACTGATTAGGCTAAGGCTATAACTCCATAATTTCTCCTCCAAACCTTCTTGTATTGTCTCACATGTGAGCTTTAAGGGGGCACCACATCTAAACCATAACAGTAACAAAGTTCTGTCCAGATAAATTGACAGACTTCAGTCTTTCTCCTTATAGGATATGAATTTAGTCTTACCTGGTTAATGCAATTTCAGCAAGACTCAAGGTGTGTTCCTCTTTAGGTGGATCCCATCATGTAGAAAAGAGAACTTTGCACAAAGTTCCTCCCTGTGATAGGAGTGTGGAAACAAGGGAAGATAAGAGGGACCTTGATTTTGAGGTAGGTTCTAAGGTTTCATAGCAGGTCAAAATATCAGACTTTGGGGTATTATTTTCTGAGCCCCAACAAGAGCATACATCTGATCCTGGAAGGGTAGTATTTAAAGACAGTCTACATCACTGCTCACATCCATTGAAT